TATTTGATTCTTCCTTGCCTCCCGCAGCTTGTTAAATTTACATTTGACGCATTAGGCTGACGCTTTTACCCAGAGAGACTTACATTAAGGGGAGACGTAAGCTCAGTCTACATCAATGAGGCGCTGTGATTCTCCATCAGGTCATCCATATAGGGTTTGAGGCGAAATGTATTCCTTTCTGTCTGGTGTTGTGAAATGGAAATAGGCTCATTTTCTAGCACAGGTAGCTGTTTTACACAAAGTGTTGGAACAGAAGAGTGACAGAGAAGATTGGTTATATATCAACTTTAGCTTGTTTACGCTCTATATACTTTTTCCCAGGAGGGAGATGAGCGAATATTATGTTGGTACTGTGAATGTCACCCTCATATGTCACATTAATAAGTCGGTATGTGTGTGCATCCTTGTTTGAGAGTTGTATAGATCAAAAACCACAGCAACTGGCACATACACAAGAAAGGTGTTATTTCCAGAATCATGTGATATATATTGCTTTGATTCTTCTACAGGAGCACAGTGGGATATTGCAGCTAATTCCGCTAGCCGTAACATAACGTGACTCATTTATAACTCAGCCAACCTCGGGTAGAGTGATTATATTTTGTTCATCTCTATCTTTCTCGCTTCCTCTTCTTACTCACTAATTTCTCCTTTCATCTGTTCCTGACCTATAAGTTCATAGCCTGTTTCTGCGTGGAAGCTGAGGTGAATTGATTCACCGACGTTTTTTCATGTCAAGGCCTTGCCTTTCTTTATACACATGGGGGGAATTGCTTATTTTGTATAACCAGTTCTGCATGTGAGGTGAAACAGGGCTGCTAGAGTCTCATTAGATTTGCAAAAACCAATATCTGAGTCTCCAGTGCCTCTGAGTGTTTCTCGACTTGTATTTCCTTTTTTGGGGAACACTTAGTCCTGAGCGTTATGAAAGGGAGGCATTGGGAGAGAAACAATGGAGAAAGAAAAATCAATTGATACACCCCCCAGCCACCCACCCCACACCTCCTGTTCCATACCCTCCATCCTATTAGATATTCACCCCCATTCAGGCACGCTTCGATCGCTTTCAGAATGTTGTGAAGTGTACACTCCAATTCATTTTAGAATGTCTGCAAAAATGATAGTCCACATTCCTCAAGACCGCTCCCTAATCGTATAGAAAGAGAGAGAGAGAGGCAGATGTGGAGGAGGATAAAGACAGGAAGACTTATTGGCATGTCAACAGTCTAAACGCATGACGGCTCTGTCTGACTGATACTGACTGCCAACTTATTAAACAAAGCACACAAGAGCTGTGACCTCCACTGTGGGAGTAACAGTGCAGCCCACTCATGTGTTCACAATGGAAACCCTGAGAGCGTAATGCAACAGTAAACCCGTTAGAAACAAACACTAGCTATGACAAATTGCCACCTCCAAATTGGTTGTTTTACACCACATTGGCTAGATTAGCAGTAAAAGGCTAGGCTTAAAGGTAAACCTGTTAAGGAAGGCGGCGTGGTACACCTGATCTGTTCTTCGCAGTACCCACTGCATCTCTGAGCTGAGGAGTTTTACTAACAGTGTACTCCATCACAGTCACAGTCATCAGCAGATACAGTGGTATGGAAGCTGCGCCTTTCTTTGCTACATAATTAACTTTAAATTGCACATATGTGTCTCTGTGGGAATTATCCTGTAAAGGCTGCTGAAATGTATAGATATCTTAGATATGTATATTCTCTAACACATTTTGAAAAATCCAATGTCACATATTACAATAACAGGATACAGTTCCAAGCTTTGAAATTGTAATAAGAAAAGGAAAAAGAAGCAGACCCTTTATTTATCCCCAAGGGGGACTTCTGGTGTCCACTGTTTGTTTTCATTACACAGTAAATACACACAGGACAGGACCCATACGCAGTAGGTCTGACTAAGGCCCCGGCTCCACGAGGACGAAAACGGGTTGAATCCGCATATTTCTCATGCGTATAGCCCTCTAAGCTCCACGAGGCCGTAAGGGAAACGTAGAAACAGACCCCGCAAACGACAACGGGTCCAAAGGTGGATAGATCTGGGAACGGAGCGCTCTGGGGGGTCCAACGGGGCCGTGGAGTCGCCTATACGGTCATTCGTTTTCATAGCCCCGCCTCTCCCCCGCAGGGTTGCTATCGTGCTCCAGTCGCTACTGACCATGCTACAGTTCTTTGTGCAACATCTACAGGAGCTCCTCCTTGAATTCAGATTATTTATCTTTATCTCGATATGGACATAAACGCGAGTGAAGTCTAATCTGACAGGACGGAGACACGCAGCTCCTGCCGCTGTGATGCAGCGGGAGCAAAACACACACTTCAAGTCAGATCATCACCCTTAGCTATTTTAATTACCTCTCAAACTAAACTAGTTATAAATATGTTCATTTTTACTGTCGGGTCACTCATTACAGGATCAGCTGCTGCATGAGACAGACACTGACGCTGTGAGAAGAGAGGAAAAAGAGACAGGCTCCGTGTATTTTATTATTATATATCATTATATCGTCGTTATTCATTTGTTTTAAAGCTCAATAAATAACAATGAAGACCTTTGACCGGCACTTTTATAATTTTGTCCGGAAGATTTAAACTTTAACACACGCTGACCGGCGAAAAACTCTGCCCGGTTCTGTCGGCCCCCACCGCGGAGAATACACAGAAGTGCAGCCATGACAACCATTCTTCTTCGCTGCTTTTGTGGAGGAAGTTGCTGCTTTTGTGGAGGAAGTTACAGCGCCACGTACAGGTTCGGCATATGTACTGCAGCTTTTCCAGCGTTTGGATGTAAACGGAGCCGTCTCGTGGAGCTTGACACAATCCGGTGTATATTGCGTGGGGACGGAAGGTTTTTTGCGGTTGCATTTGCGTTACTCCGATGCGTTTTGCCGTATTTGTCCTCGTGGAGCCGGGGCCTCAATATACATAGATTGATACATACACAAACACATGCAAACAGGCTGATGCCAGTTTGTGCCGCGCCATTGTTGGGGGTCTTTGCTCAGGGGCACCTTGGCAGTGCCCACAAGCTGAACTCTCCATCTACCAGTCCAGATGTATGAATTTGGTCCAATCGGGACTTGAACTGGTTCCCAAGTCCCTAAAAACTGAGCCACTTCCACCCCAAAACAGTATTCCCAGGGAAAGGAAAGTTTGGGGCTCTCTGCTGGAGCTGCTACCTCCGCGACCCGACCACGGATAAGCGGGAGAAGATGGACGGAGAGGATGGATCATTGGCCCTTTTCTTTTGTTAGAAGAGCCTTGTTGGTGTCTTCGAGAAAGTTAATTTCAAAATCTTCCAACATTCCTTTTGTATTAAAATGCAATGTTGTGTTGAAACCATTTTTAAATAATTGTTTTGCTCTTCATGCAAAAGCAAGTAACGTGGCTTTGTCTGTTTATGAAGTCAGCCATGTACAAAACACCTTAAAACATCTACACATGTAGAGAAAAGAAGTGACAAATAATGTCTATGTAAGAACTTTTTTGATATAGAAACCGAGTGAAACCATTTTCTAAATCTGCAACCCAGAGCATCTGATTAGTTGTCTCACACCATTCAAAATACATCAATTGAAAAAAGTGTATTTTTGCTAAACAACATTCTGTATCACTTTATCATAGCAGTTAATGCATATTTTGGATTAGGCTTTTTTTGCTCATTGAGGATTTCATCTTTTTTGTTTATGTAATCCTCATGCTCTCCCAAGTGCACTTGTGAAGTGTGTGGTGCTCGTATACACAGTACAATTTGAATTTAGTAGAAGCAAAGTGACCTCCTCCTGAACTTACAGTGAACAGTGTGGTAGCAACTGAACCTGCGTGTGGAATCATTTCAATATCTTTCAATTTAGTGTGGCTGCTTGACTCCTACTTCGTCCTAACGTGTAGTTTAAGGACACTGTAGATGCCCAGAGCGCCATATCAAACCCAGTCACATCAGAAAGAATATTAAAAAGGAGAAAGGGAAAGAAAAAGAGGCGAGCCAATGACCAAACTGACGAAGAGTGAGAAGGGTTTCTGTCGAATGCTCAGCCATCTCCAAGTATGTCAGAAATAGGGAGCAGACTTGGAGGAGATGTCTGGCAGAGAGGCAATCAATAAACTCTCACATTTCAGACTGCACTGTGAGCGTGTGTGTATGTGTGCCTGCAGCTGTGTGTGTTTACGGGACTGCGTGTGTGTTTGTTCGTATCCAATTTTGAACCAGCTCGTTGTGAGCAATTCTACCAGACTGATGAGACAAACTGTCACATTACCAAGGAACATACCCTACCGTTTTCTCTTTTTGGATTCAATCAAACACTATATCACAAGGGAAAACACAGCATCAGTTCAAATTAACATATGTTCTGTGATGCCTTACAGCTCACAGGTTCTCGTAAAAGAGGATGTGTGAATCGAATCAAGAGGAGAGCTCAGTCCAGGCTCATTTGTTGAACATGTGGCCGTATTCTCTACTTCCAAGCTGTACTCAGCACCATAAGCTGTGCTCATTTCCAAGGAACAAGTATTCTACGAGTACACGTCAGCAGCCAATTAATCTCCACTGCGCTCGCTCCAGAAAGTGTGTCATGATCACATAATAAATCAAAAGCTCGGTGCACTTCTCCGCACTTTAAAGTTAGCGGTGTTGCTTGTGTTCAGCCGTATCGATCCAATTGTCCAGGATGTTGAGGAAGGTACAGGCTGACACAGTTCCAGGATGGACTTTCACATTAAAGTCAATTACCTGGTTGTTACTGCCTGAAGGTGGTCTAAGAGTGAACAATTATAACTTCTCTGTTCTGTCCTTACTGAATCTTTAATGATGCGACACCATCACCTGTCCTGTGTAATTGATTGCAATTGATCTGGTTCAGTGATGACCTTTACTTTACAGTATCTCCTTTTTGTCTCCTCTCTTTCCCACCCTCCTCCTTTCTTGTATCCTCTCAACTTCCCCCCCTTTCTCCTCTGCCTTTAAATCCCCTCTCCCTCCAGACCTGTAGATTCTGCTGAAACCTCCCGTAGTCCTTTTTGCAACACTGAAAAGCAACGACTTATCTCCCCCTACGCAACCCAGGCTTAGGAGAGCAGAAGAAGAAGACGAAAAAGAAGATGAAGAAGCGAGAAGGAGTCTTCTCACCGGGACAAATCAAACAAGAAAACACACACAATCCCCAGTGGCACAACTGCTGTATACCACCACTCTGCGTTTTTTACCAGTCTCTCACTTATCCTCTCGCCGCTCTCGTCTCCTTCTCTTCATCTTTACTTTCCTTGTGGCATGTGTCCTTCTGCACTTCAGTGTTCTCTCATCTCGTCGCCTCGTGTTTTCCTCACTCCATTTGACGTTTTTCACTCTATCTTTCCTATCCCCTTTTACTTCCTCCACCATCGAGATGGTTTTCATTGTATTCCTTTTTGGCACCATTACACTGGCAGACAACATGTGGTGTTAGCAGTGTTCATGGCAACACGCCACATCCGTAGGAGATACTTGAAACAACATGTATATTGATATTGTAACAAAACTAAAGCTATAAATCAATTGCGTATTGGACCTCACCTTAAACCTCTGGTCTTTCCCACAGTTAATCCAAAAGGTCCTGCTTCCTTTTTTCCCTCCTCCCCCCTTTTTCCTCTCATTGCTACCTTGTTTTCTTTTCCCCCTGCTTGATCCTTCCTTTTCTCATCCTCCTCACGCATATACATAATCCCCCCATCAATCTGCCTCTCCTTCCCTGTCTCCCCCGTCTCTCTATCGACCTCTCTCTGACTCTCGGCGGGGCCAGGGAACGCTGCGAAGGCTGAGCTACTGTCCTGGTCGGAGAAGAGCATTGACTTTTTGATGTGTTCTTTTCTTTTCTTGTCACAGACTGTGTTTGATCTTGTTTCCCTCTTTAAGTGGAGAGAACAAAGCCTGTTTCTTTGTCTGCAGTGGTTGTGGTCTTTTAGGACAAGGTGGTAGCCATAAGCCTTCAAAGTCAGAAACTCCCTGGAGTCCTTTCTTCGATTTGCTTCTGTTTTGATTGCATTAGTTGTCATGGAGTGGAAAACAGTATATCTTTATAGTAACGGTGTAAACCTTAAAAAAAAAAAAGTACTATTATATAAATATTTTTATTTTTTACCATTGTATAAATATACAGTATTGATTAACTTAAGTACTTTGATTGCAAGTTATTTTGTCACCCACACAGTCAGTAAATAAAAAAGAGGAAAACCTTTTTTCTGTGAATTTTAGGCACTATTTCTAATGCTATTGATGTGTTGACTATTTTACTGTAACATCTTTTTATGTTTATTTTTGTATAATTTTGAAATCTGTGATTAATAGCAGAATCAGGAGTCTTGTTTTGATGGCTGCCATGTGTTTAGGTTCGATTTTGTCCCCCGTCAATTCTGCCCTCTCCTGTTCTCTCTCCATCCGTCATTACAAATCACCAGAAGATGTGTAAGAAGAAAAAAAAAGAATGTGGTTTTGGTGGATAGATTTTTGCTTTTTTTCTCTTGCGCTCATCAAAAGAACGTAGCGTGTGTGGGGTTTTGTGGAAGAAAAACCGTAAAGTAAAAGATGACATTTTGAATGAGTTACGTCTGTCTTTTGCACTAATTTAATAAAGCCGTTACTGAAAATTCCCACAATGCTGTTTTTTAAATTGTGTTTACTCTATGACTTTTTGATCTCTAAAAGAAGCTGTGGGCACATTAGCCATGTGTGTTAGCAATTATATCATATACCTTTTGCATTCATCAGTCAATTTCACTTAAAGAAATAGTCTAACATACAAATATATGCTTATTGTAATTTTGTACTGTAAATTAAATCAAATATAAGCCAATGTCTTCAACTGTAACCAGTAGAAGGTTAGCTTAGCTTAGCATAAGAGGGAACAACCTGGCACCCTCTATCCAAATGTATGCAAACATACATTGAAGGCTGCTTTTCATTGATGATAGTTGCCATGGTAAGTTGAACAAGTTTAACTTTCACAACATTAAAATCAATGTCAAAGAGCCTGGCACATCACCTCAAAGGCATTGCTGCTGTCCTGTTTTTATTGAAAACAATGAGGGGAGCGACCACAAGCACTCTCCTAAAGCTCTAATGTCATGATGATGAAAATAAGTCACTTTACCACCAACAATCTACAATTAAAGTATGGATTATATAAATAAAATGTTAATTAGTGAGCATTATTGCCGCTGGTCTGCCACACTTCCTTGTATCATTAGACTGTGGTGAGCTGTAGCCCTGTTTCCATTCTTTATGCTATGCTAAGCTTACCAGCTGCTAGCGCTAGCTTCATACTTTGACAGATGAGAGTGGTATCAATCCTTACATCTCACTTTCTGCAAAAAAGTGGATAAGAATAGATCCCTAAATGATGATTTAACAGTGAAAGACATAGCCCTAGCCCTACCTCATTTACATTCAACCTCCAAAAACACAACAACATCTGGAGGCTGGTCACAAAACTGATTTGTTTTGATCGATTAGCCAATGATTAGATGTAACATACATGTTTCTTTATTGGTCGTAATGTCCTTGTACTGCAACTCCTATTATTGTTTAGCAATAAAAAAACAACGCCACCTGTGCTTTTCTTTGGGTTTTCAGTGGATGACACTAATGTTGTATCTTCTAATTCCACCTTTGATCAATATTACCAGCCATAAGTTATCTACCCAGGTCCAAACAACACACAGACAAAGTTAGCAACTAGCTGGTAAACATAGTGTCAGCTAGAGACAGCTTTTTTTAAGTCTAGACTGAAAGATGTTCTGCCAAAGCACCTCTGGGTGTAGTTATGGCTCACAGATTTAAAAGGTCAGTCACGTAAACCATGTTCATGTGTGTTTTTAAAGCAATCAATGAAACCTCAACATTGATTCTAAAAAACCCGTTTAGCTTCTGTGAAGCCAGAGCAGAGACACTTCAATTGGGCAGATATGATGTGTGTAGTTGGAGACTGAGCCTCTTTGGCAGCATTTTATAAAAGCTGTAATGGTGAGGAGAAGTTATGAGTGACAAGGGCGTTTTACAGAAAATAGAACAACCCTGCAGTTTAGTTAAAAACCCCTGCATTTGTCAACACTGCACAATTCATGTGAAAATTGGTGTAAGCTACTAAGCCTTTGTTGGTTTAAAGAAAGATGTCAAAATGTACCTCTGGATCTATTAATCTTCAGTGATCATGGAGTGGCATTCAGTAAAAAAAAATGTTATAGCGATTAATTAATCAAAAAAAGCACTCCACAGTGTTTAACACGTCAAGGGTAATCACTGCCTTAATGGCATAGACGTCTTGTAATTCTCCTACTGGTGAAGGGGTTGTAAAAGAAGTTGACCGTTCGTATTTCTCACTTTCAGAGGAAGCAGTTTACAAGGTAAAAAAAAAACAGCATAAAGGCAACAACATTATTTTTGAGGAGACATGTTAAAGTGTCCACTGGTGTAAGCTCTCAAAACCTATTTTGTAAATATAATAATGGGAATTTTCTTCCTGTTTGTTTGATTTCAAAATAAACCCCAATTTAAGTTGGGTGTAAAAACTTCAAAATAAAAAAGTCAAATTAATATATAACAAACTTTTTTTGAATGCGTTTTCTCTTTGGCAACACAGAGATGCGGCCCCGTATTTGAAGTCTGGATTCAGTCTTCACACAGGTAGCTGTCACCTTTAATGAACGCAATCAGCTTTCATCAAGAGCTCCACAGACTTTTCCAAACTATTTTAACGAGCAGTGAGACCTAACACCCCTTCAGCCTTCCTTTGTTACTTGTGCATAACTGCACTACTGAGATTAGTTTATTCGTGTTCGGATTCTGTTATTGCCTTCAATTATTCTGTAACGTGTGATCTCTGACTTTGACATAAGAACTTAACAGTCAAGCCTTGATGGATCAGTGCTTAATCTACTGGAAAGGACCTATTATTTTTTCACCTTTTTTTATTGGATTTGGGGCTGATGTGGGTAATAAAAGATGACCTTTGTTACTCGTATCAACATACATAATGATTTTTTTTAAAACCTGTTTTCTTATTGTAGTGTTGGTACATTTGCACATATGCAAGTTTACCAGTCATTTTGATGTGTTATCTCTCTGGGTAAAGAAAAGAACATCTCAGAGAAATATTTTCTGATATGCAGTGGATGACAAAGTAGGACAAGGTGAGTACTAAAGGAAAGGACATGCAGGAACGTTAATGGTTTCAAAGTGCCTCAAAGTTGAACACAAACTTTATGAATTTTAAAATAGCAGAGAAAATGTTCTTGATGAAAGGCAGGGCGACTTTTCTGCAGCCTCTCTGTGGCTTCAAAACAAAACCATCCATTGGTAGAGCATTTCAATTTCACTCCCTAATTAGAAGTGGCTGCTTTATAGCTCTGCTAGCGTGGAGGATTTCCTTCTCACAGCTTCCTATATATTTAATTCTGGGAATGCCAATAGCAACCATACCATCCAATAATAATGATACTAATATCCTTCAAGGGCCATCTCCCACTCAGCCATTCAGACTCATTTATTCCCTCCTGGATGATCATTTAGCACCTATTAACACAAGATCCTCATCTGTAATGACCACTCAATTATCATTTTCACTCTCATTCTACTTAGGCTTAGCAAGGTTAAGTAACGCCCTGAACCTGAGACAAACCTTGATTGGGCCATTGGCAGATATTGGTGGCAATTACAGTCGCAATATATTCAACCAGGCCTAAAGGGTCTCTTTATTCTCTCCTTCATCCATCTTCTGCTATTTTCCCTCACTTATCACTTGGATAATGTAACATCTCTTGCCCCAATCTGCTGGTCATGTCGACCTGATCCTTAATTGCAGCCAGTGAACCACCTACACCCTACACCAATATGACCAGACATACTGTAGTTTTTTTTTTTTATTTAACCTTTATTTAACCAGATAAAAAGCATTGAGATAAAATCTAATTTACAATGCTGACCTGGCCAAGAATATAGGTATAGGTATATATAGATAGCTCATTGCTGTTATGACTGAACTGTTTTTGAAATGTGAATTTATTTTTTGAATTTGAATGTAAACATACTGTACAAGAGCTCATTGCCTTGCACTGAAGTCATCATCACTGCTGTTGGGATGAAAAAGTAACAAATAGAGTTATTATTAATAATTTGACAGATAGCAACAGAAGTGTTTGAGACTGTAAGATAAAGTGTAATAGATTTCTCTAGCAGATTGCTGGGACATGCTAGCTACATCTACAACAGGCAACTGTGGCTGCGAGGTAGTGTGGTCGACCTTCAATCTGAAGTTTGAGGGATGATCCCATTCAACATATCGATGAATCCTTGGGCAAAATCAACAAGTCCTCCAACTCATACGACCAAATAGGTTGATTGTTCCAACGCTTATTACGACCAAATAGGTTGATTCTTCAAGCGCTTATTATAATCACGTTTTAAAGTTTTCGAAAGTGCCCATGACTGCAAACGCTCCGGTGGGTCATATATTCACAAATAACCCTCTCTGGAAAATCCTAAATTGTAGGATAGTTTGGCCATTAAAATGCTTTTTGATTAGATTTCTAGCGAGAAGTGTAAATTGTACTTTTAGAATCCAGGTCCAGTGGATGTGTAGGATCTATAGTTTGATAGATATTACGAAGATTATTTGAGGTCTCGCCAGGAGAACATGTATACTACGTCTTTCCCCTATTCATTTCTATTGAGGGCAGCGTCCATGTAAAGTTAGCGTCAACCCTCACGGGGTGAAAACAGTATTTCCGGTCTCGAAGTTTTCATAATAAAACCGTATTCCCCTCACTGTCAAATTATTTTACAGTGATATCTGCCGTATTCATCCACTAAAAAACATCAGTTTATCCTTGTTAATTACACAACATTAAAGGTGGGGTAGGTAATTTTGGAGAAACCAGCTCGAGTGCGCTAGAATTTGAAAATACACAGTTGGAAAAAATCTGCCACTTCCTTACAGAGCCCCTCCTCCAACACACACGAACGCGCACATGACAAATGAGGGCACGAGATAAGTTTGTGCACAGATGGAAGGCTGACAGGCATGTAGGCCATCCAGTTATTTTAGCCGGGCCGGCTAAAATGATTGTTCGTGCTTTTTACAGTACTACGGCTTCCACAGATGACATTTTTGTATGGATTTTTTGTCAAAGCACTTAAAATATTTATTGCTATCGGGATGTTAAGAGCATTCCATGGAATATAACAAAAAGTGTATCTCGAGCCGGTTTCTGAAACTTACCTACCCCACCTTTAATTGGTTTAAATTGTGTACACTGCTTTTGTGTTTTTCCCATAGGTTTTTCCCTTTAGATTCTGAGAGACACATTTATTTTTTCAGAGGTTTTGATAAAACATCGAACAACCCATAATCCTCAGCTATCGTTGAAGCTCGGTGATTGGATGTTTTAGCCACAATGCACGTTGGGATAATGGTGTTTATGCGATGTGAAATCCTCAAACTTTAAAAAAAAAAATAATAATAATACTTTATTCCGAGTGTGCTTGCTTTTCTCTTTGAAAGTCATCACATAACGGCATTATAATACACGGTTCGGCTGCATTAAATATTTTTATAGAGCCCTGATTAGAAGACCTTTGGACAAACTGGAAGAAA